TATATATATGAACTGTGGTGCAACTTTTGAGCTCTGAAGGTGAGAAGACTTCTTATCTTGATCAAAAGGAGGTGAAGAGACGAACGCCGTTTAAAAAATATGCATTTCTTGGGAGATCATGAATTCTAATCGCTTGAAAATGTGTTGCCTATTCTTACTGTGATCTGCTGTACCCTATTTTCTCCAATGAGAGTTTCTGGAAGTCCTAGTGTAGAAAAAATACGCCACTGTTTTCTGCACTTCGATCGCCACTTCGATCATATTTTTCGGAGTTGGGTGTATTGATCGAGAGTCATCTACCTTCCCTAGTTCGTGTATCACATGGCAATTTTATCGAATACTGGTGGGTTATATTGACCCCCTTATTGGCTAAGTTCTTAGTATCAATTCTGTCGTGTGACACTAAATAGCCAAAAAACAGGCCGGAGAGTTCACTGATGAGATCATTGTGACTCCAGTCACCAATCTAATCAACCTTCTTTTTGACTGGTGCGAGTACGTCAATAGGGCGTTACCTCAAATGACGAATCCCAGTGGATGGAAACTTTTCTGAAGACGAATGAAGGGATCATTCACTAAATTCCGATTATACGAAGTAGCAAGATAACTTGCCGAGAAAATCTTCATTATCCAGATCAAGATGCTGCCTGAATTACAGATCAGACCTAGCAAAAAAACAGGCGGTCGCTGTTGAACAAAAAAAAACTGCAAAAATGTCAACGCACTTGTTTCTTTCTTTCTACACTGGAAGTATCTTCTATTGGGTTCCTAATAGTAAAATGATAAGATTCTATTACGCTGGATCTCAGTTTTATCCAACGGCAATTTCTCGGCGTAATGGGTGTGTGGGATGCGATTTTGTCCCCACTTTGTTAGAGAGTTAGCTATCCATTAGAGTAAGAGTCTGAGCCATCTATACTAGGTTATCCTTGATTGTTCCTTAAATGATTCTAACATGGAGCATTGATATATGCTCTAACGTTCACAATCTGAGCCATTGGTTCATTGAATGCTTATTTTGCATGAATATGGTAACGATCTATGCATTCAGGGGTACAACACGGCGCTGGTAAGATTGTGCTTCACAGAACCAGAGCAAATGAAGACGCTGCCTCTAGGCAGCCCCTCGGTGTGACCCTGGAATACCGCTCCCAGCCTGTCATTTAGTATTTGGTGCTGGACCACTTCTCAAAACCGCCGCAGGCTCGGCTCTCTAGTACACATTCCACGGAAAGGCCTTGGCATACCCAGCACTACGGTGGGCTAAGCCATCGATGGTTCCATGTAGGCGGGAAGTCGAATCCGATACGGATACACGCTGGGTCCGGTTTATTAGTAATGCAGTTTCTGGACTATCCAAATCGGACAACATTGGGTGAAACTTCTAGGCTGTCTCTATCTATGTCAGCAATGCTTCGCCTTAAGACCCTGGATAGTCCGGAGGTTTTGACCTACATCGGTGCCAGGAGTGACCTTTTATGACCATCGTGGTGTAGAATAATGGATTTTGACCATTTATGCTTGCCCATGGAGTCTCATGTGTAACATAAACTCTTACATACATTGTAAGTATCAACTGTGTATTCATGTCAACCGCCTAAACCTAATAGAATCCCGGGAGAAGGCTCTGGTTTGGTTGCCGGCTGAGCGCTGTTGTTTTACTACTATCTAAATTCTGATTTAAATATATTTTGTTACACCGTACGTTCTGAGTTCTGATTCAATGTATCCTATTGAATTCTATCCATGTGTATTTCTTCAAGGGGCCCTTCATTAGCACTCCGGATACTCTGAATGTTAAGCCTGAAATGGCGCTGCAGGTGACCCTCTGTGGCCATTGTTGTACAGGCCTAGCTGAATGATAGCTGTTGTAGCGACCCAGCCACCCATATACTTGACTGTTCAACTCAATCGCTCACTGGATCGCGAGGCTTGTCTATTTTCTCATACGCACAAACACGTCGCATTAAGCTGACACATCGGACATCGATTGTCTGCACCGCCTAGTCAGCGTAGCCGACGCGCCCACATACACGCACTGGGACCTACATAAAGGCAAACCGAACCCGGTCAAGACACACAGACTCGCGCGCGCGCGCAGGGAGCAGGAAGTCAACCTCTCCACAAGTCCACGGACAACCATGGAACACGTGTAGCAGCCAAACTGCGGAGAAAACACGTTCCCACCGTCCGGACTTTCACCAAGGAACTCTCACATACGATAAGTTCTCTTTTGACTTGCTCCACATTTTATATTGCCTTTATTTTATACATGCTGCAAATCGCTTCTGTAAACTACTGTCAACCACAGTAAAGGCTGTTATTAGTGCACATACCTTCTGATTTGTACTATGGCCATCATCAACAGCAGTGCACTAATAACAGACCAACCCGGAAATATATGCCGGCTCATCGTTTGGCGGTAAATCGCCAGCTGAAGACTGCTAAAACGGGCGCTTTATGATTGGAAAATGACTCTGTCTGGTGATTTTCCTACACAGGGAAAACAAAGTAGACGCCTTCTTCCCTCATGATACCATTCACTGATCGCTCGATACTGGACACATGTCCACTCGCTCCTGAACTGTTGTGCGTCCAAGATTTCGTATGTCTGGTGTTTCTAGTATGAAGCTAGCAACCCTCTTCTCTTGTCCTAAAGTCCGAACTGACTGTAACATCGGTTCGCAAAATGTGTGAACTCTGGGTTTTTGAATTTACGGGTGTGAAAAGAAACAACTCCGGTTTCACAGCATCCCTTCTGTCTGAAAATGAGCAGAAAGTTAGCGAAGAGAAGCCCTTTTGAAGAATAGACTAAAGTAAACCGTATGTTGGACATAGTGAAGTATTTTGACCAGATAAAGCATTGAAAATATCTAGGGACAAGCCAATTAATCCAGTTCATAACTGTTCGTTTGAAATGCAGAACACGCGATCTCATGTGGAAAGACAGCTATGATCCTTCGTAAATGCTATTTCAAGCTCTGATCGATTGCGTTTGGTCGCAGACCAAGAATCAGCCATGGCTGACCCCGACATCTGATTCAGGTTTGATGCGTGTCACGAGTTTAACGAGAGTGATGTGGGCATGAACTCTACAAATCCCGCAACCACCTAAAACCTAAAGCCCAACAGGTTCCAAAGCGCTGTCTGACTGGAAAGTCCTAGCAGGCGGAGCACTCGATGGACACAGCCAGTACAGTTACTGAGACGTCGTTCGGGCCATCATGCAAACCAATCGCATTGCTCTTGTGTGAACATATTCACCTGTTCAGATGTGAAAATTCAGATCAGTCTAGCGTGCGCTGTTCAAGTAGTGGTAACACGCTCGCCCCAAGTCAGATGTTCGAAGTTCAAACTCGGGCACAGTCAACGATATACACTGCTGATAAACCCTAACGAAGGTGAAACTCCAGTCCAGTCTTTCCCTCCTTTGGTGTGAGCTCACCAGAATAATTGCACCGGGACAAGAGGACGATTGTTTAAAACAAGAGCGATGTGAGCATCTGTAACGATTTCGTCAATGGATGACGACGCACACCCTGAAACAGTCAACATCCTATTCCTTATTCCGTTTATTTAGCTTCAGGTTTGAACCTGTCAGCCGATCTGGGACCGATCCATTCACGACGGCGTGCTTACTCCAACAAAATGAGCCCTGGCCAAAATGGTTGCTATCCCTCTTTCAGATGGATACAGGTAGGTTGTTTGAACGGCCACGATTTACGCACAGCGACGAGCTGTGTTCTTGCGTGTGTCAGCGAAGCATCTGTGACGGATCAAATGGCATTCTGTGACTTTCCGTCTCGACAAATACACTCATTCGCATAATAACTGGGCTTTCACGGGAGACTGCTGAATCCCTCGTTGATGATATTCTCCAACCGAGTGTGCTTCACAAAAGCGCTTCATGTTTCAGTTGGTACGGTATTCAAGATATCTCAGTATATTTTCACAAAGGTAGCTACTCACAAGGCGGCTGGAAACTCTTCGACAGCCCACGATCGATCCCGTCCTTCTTGAGGCTCATCAGATAGGCATAGTTCCCGAGTTCCGGTCAACTTCTTGGGTGCCAAAATGAAGCTGTCCAGAAAACAACCAGAAGCAAGTCTGAATGTGGTCACAAAATAACCGTATAATCGATTGTCTGCTTATATTGTTTATATTGTATTCGGAGACTCTTATGTAACAACAGCAAGGAAATGAATTCACGGATATTTTTGCGAAAGCAAACAAAACATTACAATGATTGGTCGGGAACTACTGATGACCATGATGGGCTCCAGGGGCAACTCATTACAGTAGAAACATTTTTCGCGAAGTTCAATACCTCCTAAACTAACCTGGTCTTAACCAGAGACTCAACTGAGTTTATTACGTACACAACTCTGGTTCAAGTACAACACAGGGCTGACGGAAACTCGGGGACTACATCTGTCTAATCAGCCTCATGAAGGGAGAAATCGCTTGTACAGTGTCCAACAGTATTATAGATAGTGTTTCGTCTAGAAACGCGTGCCACATCGTTTCCTCCCGATTTGGCCATCCTTCTTTGACCTTGGTATTTAGTTATTTGTGGTGTCCGTAGTATTTTCTTAATCTTAACACTACATTTTCCCACTTCCAGCTTCTCGAATCTCGAAAGTAGTTGACCCATATACAACCGATCAAGACTTCAAGCAGTAAGACAACAATGGTATTGATCGGTATCGCGTTACCACTCGGAATTCCCTGCTACTGAGTTTTTTTCGTTGTTGATGCAACATGGGAAGCGGTCCAGATGTTCCCTATCAGTTTTCATGAACGAGACACTAGGCTTTTCAAGCAGAAGGTTGAAACTGGAAAATAAAATAATCGATTAGTCCCTTTACTGCTACGTCGTTGAAAACACGATTTCGAACTATACATCGTCCTGGAAGCTCAGCTTTGGCCTCACAAACTCTCATCCAGTAATTGACTGTCTGCATTTCCGCATCAAGTGATGCAGCAGCGCTCTCGCACACTCATTCAAACGCATGGTGATGTATGTCAGTAGAATTTCGCCCATAAGAGCAGCGCGGAGCCATCTCACGGGCTTCTTGATGCAAGCTGTATACTCAGGTTCTTCCGGCTTGACCTTTATGCTGACCTGCTTGATAGGTTCAGGAATACGGAAACAGCCAACGGAGTGGAAGTTACACCTGTCACGCCGTGCCTCGACTATCATTGCAACGGCGAGCGAGATCAGTTGGGCCTCCTGTTTTGCCACCTGTCAGCAGTACGACCTAAGCAAATACGGGTCACCTTACAGGCCCCTTGTGGCACCGAGCTCTTCCGCTAGCCCGAAATTTTCAGCATGACAGCACGACAGTGAGATCGAACGGTTGTCGGACTGAGTCGTAGTGGTGATTGAAAATGCTCTCAAACCCAACCGGCCCCAGTGCCACATCTAGGGCAGGGCGGTATCTAGCCCTAATTCATGTGATCTCATGCTGGGCACCATAGCGACCAGCTCATGTCCTGAATCAAGGTTGTATCATTGATTCATCTATGTCCTGCCGTGGGGCGGAAAACCTCGTGTCCACTGGACGCATCGTGGCGCGATATGATACAAACACCAAAGCAGTTGCCAACTCTGAGTACTGATTCACACACAGCTCACATTGGTAGAACTGACACAAGACCTGAGGGGCAAGCAGTCTCCTTCTGATGTCGATAGACGACCAGAACCCAACTCTACGATCACTTCCGAAAATAGTTCATTAGTTATGGAGACAAAACGCTGATTGAATTTTCGATCAGCGTTCCAATCGGACGATGAGGCTGAGAATTTACCGCATTCTTTCACTGCACATTTGATTAACTGATACAAGACCATGTTGTACGCACTTTGCAAATGCCATTAACTTATGGAACGGGTCACGTCATACGTTACTTAGTTCGCATAGCCTAAGTTACACTGTGATAGCTTTGTTTACGGTCCAGTTTTGTTTGACACGTCTCACGACTAGAGAACCTATTTCTTTTCAGTGCTTTTTTTCTTCAATTCGTGGCGTTTCACAAATCCGGTGTTCGTAAAAATCATGTGAGTTCTGTTGGTCGCTCGGGCCTAGGTGAACGTCAGTCGTAAAGTTCTCTGTTCCTGTACGTCCACTTGGAAGTTTGGAAATACCCATGATACTTTTAGAAATCTGAAAATTCTGTAGGTATTCTGAGATAGTTATTTTTAGTAACGCGCACAAGCAAATCTATGAGCCATGATATTAAGAAAGTCAACAAGATAAACCCAATTATTCATTTGGATGGTTCTTCACAGAAGAAAACAGTTTCTCCATGCAAGTCTATGTAGATATCGCGATATCTCGAATATCGCACCAAATGAAACACGAGGCTGCCTGACGCAGCATATTAAGTTGTCTAGGAATACCATGAACGTGAGATTCAACTAGGCTCCGGGCGAGTCTCCCATCAAAATCAAATTTGTATCCAAATGAGTGCAGTTGTCGAAATCGATTTATCGTTTCACTCAGCATGATCCCCATAAGTGGTCGGTACAAAAGCACTTAAAATAGATATTAGTGGGCGAGGTTAACACAACAATTCACGTTCACATCAATCTCATTTGACTACTGGTCCTAATGTGCCGGCGAAACTATTCTGGTAAGTCCACAACAAAGCAGGGAGGTGCTGGACGCGAGTTACGCTCGCATTACAGCACATCAGCAGTGCATAGTCTGAGTTTGGAATCTATTCATCCGACACGCGAAGCGACTGCGTTACCACTGCTGCACCACCCCACGATGGACGCATCTGATTTCTCACGTTTCAACTGGTGAGGATTCTCACGCTTCCGCGACGTAATTGATTTGCCCGACCGCGGTTGGTTTCACTATGTGTCCCGGTTGTGTCGATCAACTGACCTGCCAGTCAGGACTTACCATTCGGGTAGTGCCACGAAAGCTTCAAACCTGCTGGACACGATGTTCTTACAGACTTTTACCAATGAATGGTTGTGAATGTCGAGGGAAACCGCCACGATTCGATATGGACATCCAATAAAGAATAAAGGATTCCTCAAATCTTCAAAGATGATCACAATGACGATCAGGTTATTTATTCTCAATTTGGATCTTGGCAATTTCCAAACAGAATCGCTGTAGTGGACTACTTCCATTCCCACATTCGCCCCACGCAAAAAAGAAACGTAACGAAAGCTGCGAAAGTAGCTCGACTGTCGTGGACATCAGATTTCATCTTGCTTCGTAACAAAGGAAGAAAGCACTGAAATCTAAGGTTTTCGCATACATCACATTCAATCTCAGCTTTCTAGAAGGTGCATGAGCACCGGTGAAAGTTTCACTGGTGATTCGATTTCAATCTCATCAGTTTGTCATGTTCCAGTCAGTAACTTGCAACCAACCCAGATAAATAGCACTCTCAACCTCAACAAAATCCAACCAGTCTCTCAAACAAATATCACAAACTAGCAAGGTCATCTCACTGCCTGACCTCAATGTTGCAATTATCTCCAGCCAAAGTTCTAGCGATCAGAAAATAGACATCGATGCTGTTGGGTGACAGAGACCATTAGCACTTTGTGCTGTCCCACCAAATATCGATCGAGAATTCACGCGTCTGGAGACGATTAGGGGTCATCATTCATTTGCTTAAGCAAATAACGATTTAAAAAAAAAAGTACAACTCTATGCGAGTTCATCATCCAGATCCATCGCTTTATCGAAATGCACTGATCCACACTCCCAAGAAACTCGTTTGTGCCACAGAAAGAATCTGATTTTTAGTAAATCCAAGCCTAACCGATGGCCACATATGAACCTAACTGATCCCAAATGTCACAAAATTCAAAGAAATGGTGTTAACTATAAATATACATTCCACTTGAGTGAGGGGTAAAGAGCCGCTACCTGGGACTGAACTATGGGTTCCCGGTAGTTCGTTAGCTAGACGGTTAACTCAGTCTATGTTTCCAGAGTAAATCGTCTTCTTTCCTCCATTAAAAGGAAGTATTGTAAAAATTGTTACACCTGCAAACTTGCAGCAGCATTTCTGTTATATCTGACTGCTGTCCCCGCTCCTCAGTCTATCCAGAGTAAATCGTCTTCTTTCCTCCATTAAAAGGAAGTATTGTAAAAATTGTTACACCTGCAAACTTGCAGCAGCATTTATTTCATATCTGACTGCTGTCCCCGCTCCAGTGCCTGGTGCCAAGAAAAAAGACTCGCCGACAAGGAACACAAAAGCCCTATTGCAACAGGCGACTGCGAGTACAAAGGCATCGCGCTAAATGTCGAGAGGGCTGTCTGAATGGTGTTTAGTGGTGTTAGAAGGTTTCATTAGTTTTCCGCCATTCTGTGATAATCTTCAGGAATCTGACCTGTATGCCAAATTAGAACTTCCACTTGACAATATTCTGAGCAAATACGTTCAATGTAGCGTCACAATAATCCATGAGACAGGTAAAAACCGAATTTTCAATTTGCTACAGATTTCGTCCTCCGGTTCATGATTACAGGGTGGAAAACTCTCTGGAATCAGTCTGTGAAAAACAACTTCGAAGCTCAGTTGACTATACATAAATTTGATGATAATATGCAGCTTAGCGAACTACACTCAAATACTTACAAATTTGGTATTCGCGAGTTACGCGACTGAATCCCCCCAATTAATCTCTCGTTCATGATGTTCTTCCTGGAAGAACTTTAAAAAACATTGTGAGTAGCCCGTTATATCAATGAGATCCACCCAATTGAGATGAGCGATGAGCACATGAAAATGAGTTGGTAACACAACTCTGAAATAGACTGTCTTAGAAGACAGAAACACGTGAAATCCGGGATGCCAAGTGAGAGTGGTCTCCGATCCGTTAGCGAATCTCCATCGAGCACCAAACTGGACAAACGTGGTGTAAACTACCCATGCAAACGCGATTGTGAGTGCGGATCTCTCACCTCGATCGGTAATTCGACCCTTGCGATACAAATAACTAGACGGTACGGTAAAGAAGCCTATAGCTGCAAGCCCAGATGATCAGACCAAAGTGACTTTCCGGAATACGGTGTGGGAATTGAAAAGTCATATACATGAGCACAGTGACAGATCGCTGAATACAAAAGACCAAGGTTTCCGTCTCAGAACGTTTTTCAACTACAAAAATGAAGAAAGATTCAATAATTGGAATCCATGACCCGGCGGACAGCCGAAGTGTTCGAGCTAGTCAAAATAGACCATGGAAATCTGCTGCAGTGGGTGCAACATCGCCGTGCAAATACTCTCGTGATGCCAGCTCAGTTCTCACGTGCCAAACGAATCGACGGCCAACGACCGTCCGTCATATGGAGACGGCTGATCAGCAGTGACAAACAAGGACACATACATTCGGCTCTCCTAATCTCAACATAGACCTGCAGGTCCAACTATGATGCTGACCAATCGGGATACTGCATAGAATGTTGGCTGTTTCAATGCTAACACCGATTGACACGTATTCCTTTAATAGATAGGTCGGCTATTGCTGAAGGCTATTCAAGGTGATCGAAACGCTCGATGGTGAATATTCCACTTAGAAACATTGTCTTCTTTCCTAAGTGCGAATAGAAATGGAGCTAACTACACACTTACAGACCGAGAACGTGTTAACATATTACAGTTCACTAGGGAAAATATTTCTATATCTAGGTAACTCTACCAGCAAACTCTCCGGCAACCTTTGGACATCGTAAACAGGAAGTTCGCATGACGTCCTCTTCCTAAATGATTGCTTGCTTGACCAATTTAGGCATCAGCCTCTGTAGCTAACTAATGATTGCCATTTCAAGACAATTTGACTGGTTCACAAAAAGTATCTGACCTCTCAATATCTGGCGGATAAGCACCCTTTTTACCACAGATAAGTTTGTTCAGCCAATTTATACGTGACTGTGCAAAAATTTCAAACCCGAGTTAAGAAGTTACGGCTATTATGACCGTCAAAATACAGTAAGTGATCCAAAAGTTAGTTGACAGATTTCTCTCGGTGTCCAACATTGTTTTTATCCTCGCATCTCCTAAAGTCAGGTGATTATTTGCAATTTTCTTAAGGTCCGCCACATGACCAGAGGATGGGGTTTCCAGAACATTCCACGCAGTCATAGAACCCACTCAACGGTCCTAGGTTTTTCATGCCAAATCACACATGCCTCCCGGATTAATGACGGTACCCGTTGCCAACTTTCGAAAATTTTCCAAAAAACATCAAGTAAGCTTAAAAAAACTTGACGAAATTTCCCCTAACATTATATCATTTGTACAACGGATTATTGAATTAGCTTGAAGATTACAAAATTCCACAGACCTTCATATGCATGACTTCTTGAAATGGCGAACACATACGCATACTATTGTAAACCTTACCTCGGGGCTTTTCTTGGCCGTTACATTGTAGGCAGCTTCACAAAACTGTGCTACATCGGGAAGTGACTGAACTCTAGAATGATGAGGGAAATTAGACCAGAACATATATGGGACACTA